CAGATCGACCTGTGTTAAACACTAGGTCGGAATTAGGGCACCCCTGTTGCGATAGAACGTTCCACCGGCAAAATGACCAAAAACCTGCCGTGCGTTTCGCGAACCATTACGCTTGGGTGCAAGGCGCTACACTAAAGTGAAATATACAGCTGTACAGCTTTAATCATTGTGATCTTTATCTGTCAATATTATAGCTCATGTTGCGCGGGTTTTTGGTCAGATAAACTATTACCAAAGGTCTGTGCGTTTGCATGGAACATAGGTCGGAATTAGGGCACCCCCCGTTAGTGCTCACTGTGTAGGATTTGTTCCAGCTGCACCCTTGATACGTGCTTGAGGTTTGAAGTGTCCCTCCTGACCTCTGGAATCTTTTAAGGACCACTTTCAACAAACAGCAAAGTTTCATTGGCTACACTCAGAAATAGAGGGTATTACTGTAGAGTACACATGGTTAAAACTGGGTGTTTTTGTACTGTCGAACATCTCATCAACATGGTGTCTTTATGATGACATGTGACATGAGTCTTTATGATGGCTTTGGTCACAGCAAGGACATACTGGTTCACATTCATTGATACAGACAGAAATTAATAAATAAACAGATCATAACCAGTGTTAGGAGGTTGTCATGTACGTGCCTACATGGCCTTAGTCAGACCCACACTGGAGTACGCTTGCCCAGTTTGGGACCCCCATACTTCCGATCAGGTAAGTAGAATGGAGGCAGTGCAGCGTAGAGCTGCCAGGTACGTATATAACAACTACAAACGTACGGCCTCTGTTACTGAGATGCTAGGTAACCTGGGATGGAAATCTCTACAACACCGCCGAAAAGTGGCCAGGCTCACTACAATGTTTAAAGTCCTGCACAACACCATCTCTGTCCCCCACACCTCGTGCCTCGTCCCGGCAGCTCGATGCTCCTGCCGCACTAATCACGCTTTAAAGCTGCAGACCATCGCGAGTAAGAACAACTATTACAGGCTCTCGTTCTTCCCTCGCACCATCAAGGAGTGGAATGAACTTGAGCCCAGTGTGGCGGAGGCGAAGTCCATCTCCCAGTTCAAAGCAGAGCTGGGACGGGCTTCGCTGCATTGAGCTGCTTCCCGGTCCTTGTACATATGTAAATACTTGTAACACTAGCACCACTGATTTCACTTGTCCTGTCCTTGCACTTGTCCGCGTCCACCCCTACCTTACCCTTTGTTTGCACCTTGCACACAGTACTAATGCGCAGCTGCTAGTAATCTTCTCTTTAGAAGGCTAAGCAGTACTGAAGATGATGATGTAACCTGTATAAGGATAAAGATGATTCTCCTTTGCCTCTGTCTGTGCTCAAACAGGTTAACGACACTTCAACATGAAGATGTGGAATCTGGGAAGACTTCCAAAGACTGCTTCAACTGTCTCCCCATTACCTGCTATTGTGGACAAGAAGATCTTCATGGAGGTCTGTTTAATGTTCAATAAAATAGTCTTCCATCACTGCTTTCCAAACTGTCAATACTTGAGCGTGAGACAGGTTTGCCCTTGCATCTAGAGTCATATAATCTATTCCACAAGTCTTACACATGTACAGTCTATGTACAGATGTGGGTGGGATGATGTAGGACAACTTGGTAGCAGCAATGCCTGGAATCTAACCCATGTGTGACAGAGCCAGGGTGGGAGCAGCCCCTCCCGACTCCAGGGTTAGAAACATTTCTAGCATGCTCCTGAGTCATGCAGGCCTCAGACAAGTTGCACAATATAGTTTTGTCCATGTTGTCTTTATGGTTTAAAAGAGATGCCTTTTTGGAGCTGTTCTCAGCATGTAAACTG